TCTACTGGATTAATTAGGTGTAAATAATTTTAGCATGTGATATTATGATTTTAAACAGGTCTAGGTGGAAAAATTACTTTGTTTTCTTCTGCTAGTCATGACAGTGCTTATCTCTACTATAATTTGGGGGCATTTGAAGATAGAGAATGAAAGATGGGAAGAAATCGGAGGTAGAGCAGGAGCAGTACTAAGTGTGGCAACACCTGATAAGAAATAGGGGCAGTGACAGCGATGGAGTGGGATTAAAAATACCAGAGGACCTGAAGCTTCCTTCTCCTTATTTTCCCTTCCCCCATATCCCTACTCTCAAGTCACAGTAAACAAAATTTTTTTTTGTTTATTTCCTTTGTTTTAATTACCTAGTACCTAGTGGGAAAAGCAACATAATTTAAGCTAATTCTCCACTGGCCTTGTCTTTGATACACCGGGCAGTGGGGATAAGAGCTGTAGAGCCACAGGAAAGGGTCATTGAAAAGAAGGGAGGGGGTAGCTGTAGAAAGAACCAGATTAGAAGGACATTTGAGAGGACTAACAATCCAGGAGCCCCTGGGTGGCACAAACGGTTAAGCACTCAACTACTATTTGGAAGGTTGGCTGGTTGAGCCCACCCAGAGTCACCTCAGAAGATAGGCCTGATTATCTGCTTCCCCAAAAGATCATAGCCTTGAAAACCCTGTGGAGTGCAGTTGTACTGTGTGACACGTGAGTTCACCATGAGTCAAAGTCAACTTGATGGCAGCTGGTATGGTATAAGGGAATCTAATCAGGAGAGAAATGAGGAAGGAAGGAACGTGCCAAGAAAGATGGGCAGAATTGGAAGGGGGCTTTGCATAGAGAATGGCTGGTGAAAAGGCTTTTCAAGTGGCATTGATTAATTGCCATTTAAGAGAACTGTAGATGTGTTAATATTTGCTTCTTGGGAACTTAGGAGCAAAAGATGTATGGAGAATCTATGTATTCATTTTTTTTTAAAGTTGCTTCTAAGCATAAGTAAATTGATTTCCTCTTCGGGTGTTTTGTTGTTTTTAGGTGATGTGTATTCTGTCTTCTAATCAGAAGAGCTACTATGATTCCATTAAAAAGTACTTGAGCTCAGACTGCCCAGTGCCGAGCCAGTGTGTGCTTACTCGGACTCTGAATAAACAGGGAATGATGATGAGTGTCGCCGCCAAGATTGCCATGCAGATGACCTGTAAACTCGGAGGCGAGCTGTGGGCTGTGGAGATACCTGTGAGGAATCTGTCCTGCTTTCCCGCTTAATCAATTAAAAAAAAAAAAAAATCAAAGTAGGAGATTTTCACATGATCCCAGAATTATTGGTTTTTGTTTGTTTGTGGTGCCTCTGCTCTGGGTTCTGGCATTTCACAAGCCACTGTGGGGGTATCCAAAAGAAGGTGAGGCGTGGCCCGTGTTCTCAAAGGGCTTCTGTTAAACTGTACACGTAGAATATTTTGTAGAAGAGAGTGTAGCTGTGCATAAATTTGGAAGGACTTGATTTGAATCCTCCCAGCCACTACTTTAAAATCAGTGTTGTGTGGCCTCTGCGTGTAGCTGCTTTCAGCACGGCGCTCACTCTCAGAGCAGCCCTGCACCCCCGGCTGGGGCCTCCCCAGAGCTGGGGAGCTGGCATAGCCTATGATCTGAACTTCCAAACTGAGGTGGGAACTGAGAAAATCCTCTTCTCTCCTGAAATGTAGCCACCATGGTTGAAAATGAGGGGAATGAGAAATGAAGGAATGCTGTCCACTCCTTGACATTTCCATAACCAGATGAGCGAGCGTGGGTTACCTCAAGTGCCTCTCCTGGAGGCCCATGGCCAAGTGAGGATTCCTTAGTAATCTGAAGAACTGAATGGGGAATGGAAGTCCTTGTCGGAGTCCTTCAGCCCAGAGGCAAGGGATGAATGGACTAACCATTTTCCCAGAATCCCTTTCACCGCTAGTACCCCTTGTCCACCCCCACAGAGGATGATGACTATTTTGGTCTAGTAAGTCTCCTAAGCAATGAATTCTTCCCTCTATCTTTAAGTCTCTTTAGATTCTGATTAAATAATCTGCCTGATCTGGACCTTGATCCCCCTGACACATAGCTTAACTTAAATAATTTAGTAACTGGGAACAGTTTTTGGAAAACTTCAAATTAAATCGTTGTTTGGAGAAATGCTACCTCATCCCATTAAATCATGAAACATTTAATTTTGCAGTTAAAGTCCCTGATGGTGGTCGGTATTGACATCTGTAAAGATGCCCTGAACAAGGAAATGACAGTGGTTGGATTTGTGGCCAGCATTAACCCCAGAATTACCAGGTACATTTAAAATTACCCTAACATATTCTTCAGTTATTTAGGCTATTAATTGTCGTTTAACTAAAGGCCATAACAGCAAGAACTAGTTTCTATTATTCACTCACTTTTTAAACACCAGCCTGTACGGCCATAAATTATATTTACATATAAAAAATATTTTTATAATGGAAAATATGTAGCCTCATTAAAAAATATTTGTTATACATTCATTAGAGAAAACTGTTGATCATATGCCAATCATATTTACAGAATAATGGGTGTATAGGAGCCTGGTGACATAGTGGTTAAGTGTTCGGCTGCTAACCGAGAGGTTGGTGGTTTGAACCCACCAGCGACTCCTTGGGAGAAAGATGTGGCAGTCTGCTTTCGTAAACATTTACAGCCTTGCAAACTTTATGGAGCAGTTCTTCTTTGTCCTGTAGGGTTGCTATGAATCGAAATTGACTCGAAGGCAATGGGTTTGGCACTGTAATAGGTACTTTGCATTCCTTATTTCAAGCAGTTGAGCTTTAGAATCAGATCGCCTGGATTGCCACTTACTTTTTCTGTAACTAAGGCAGTCGTTTAACCTTGCTGTGCCTTGACATAGTCATCTGTAAAATGGGAATAATGTTGCCTGTTTCGTAGGGCATTTATAGGCCTTGTAAAATAAAAGTACATAGAATATTGCCACCCATAGTAAATTCTCAGTATATGCTTGTTGCTTTATTGTTACTATTATTAATACTCCCAGACACTTGAGGGTTGGTGTTCATAAGCTATTACAAAATAGGCAGGATTAGGGATAATATGTTAAACACTGGCTCATAGTTCTCATTAAATGGTAGTTCTTAGAATTGTTTCAGTATTTGTAACTAAGCAATGTGTTTTGAGGCTGTAGAAGCTGTTGCAAAATGGTTTCTTTCCACACTTAAGCTATTTCCATTAAGCTGTGGTCAGATATATATATGGGATTGTGAAACAGGAAAAATAGCAGCATACCTCCCGGCCTACAACTTTATTTCTGTACCTAAAATTAAGGTCAACAGTAGAGAGGTCCCTATAACAAATTACCTCCTGCTAGGTAGATACCCCCCAATTATATATCAAAACTCTATTGATGTCGTAACTGTTAACACTATTCTAGTCCAGTCTCTGTGCAGAAGCAATTAACAAAGTCGGAAGCATCTACTTTAGTGGGTAAGCCGGTGGAGGCAAGTATCCGTTGGCTGTTAGGTTTCAACATGCCACTGATCAAATCACCCCTTTCCTCATACAACAGCAGCCTGGAACAAGTTTATTAGCTGAGCCAGTAAACTGGGGATTATATTTGCACCTCTGTCTCCATCTTTTGAGGAAGGATCTCTCTGCCGTTGAGCGCTCTGAAATAAAAGATTCAGTGTTGTACACTTTCTTTATGCATGTTAATGTCATTCAAATGGCAAAAATAGATTGCCCAGATCATATGAGATCCCTGTTAGGTATAAGTCAGTTCCTTACTTAAGCAGATAAAGGACTTGCAATTTGTTAGCAGCTTTCCTAATTGTGTTACTATTGTTCCATGTGTTCAGAGAAATAATGACGTTGGTAGATACCACTAAGTCATGATCCTCATTTTCCAGGTGCTTTTTTTAAAAATTTATTTTATTTTGTTCTTGTTGTTGAGAGTATACACAGCAGAACATACACCAATTTAGCAATTTCTATGCTTATAATTCACTAACATTGATTATAGCCTTCAAGTTGTGCAACCATTCTCACCCTAAGTGCATTTAATTGCTTGGTAACTTTAGAAAGACAACTTGTTTCTGAAATCTAAATATTATTAATCATGTTAAGGTTTCAAGCCCCAAAGGCTCACCTGTAGAAATGGAAATTTATTCTTGGAAAGTCTTTTAATATTTTGAAACTAGCAGATCTACTGCTAAACTGGTAGATTCTTTTATAATAATAATAGAGTGGCCTCTATTAGTGCTTACTATGTGCCAAGCCCTGCTCTAAATACTTTGCATATATTATTTACTTTAATTTTTACAATAACCCTATGAGGTAGTTACTATCTTATGAATCTCCTTGTTACAGATGAGGAAACTGAGGCTTACATTCACATAGCAAAGTCCCATAAACCCGAAACCTCTTGCCATCAAGTCAGTTCTGACCCTGTAAGACATAGTAGAACTGCTCCATAGGGTTTCCAAAGCTGTAATCTTTACAGAAGCAGACTGCCACGTCTTTCTACCGTGGAGCCACTGGTGGGCTTGAACCACCGACGTTTTGGTTAACAGCCAAGCACTTGACCACTGTGCCAGCAGGGCTCCTTGCAAAGTCATATAGCTGGTTAGTATACCAGCCAGGATTTAAACCCAGATGTCTGATGCCAACATTATGCTTCAGTTTCTCTTTTTAGTAAATTTTCTTTTTTTTTTCTGGAGGGGGGCTTTTAAATATAATTTTGATCATATAGCATGTACAAAATCATGAACACTGATTTTTACTCCTAATGTCTATTTCTTAATCTAATACTAATCCATGTGTATTGTAGACAATTTGTGTCGAACTTTACTTTTATCTTCTGCTTCCTTTAGGTGGTATTCCCGCTGTATCCTTCAGAGAACAACAACTGATGTTGCAGATTGCTTAAAAGTTTTCATGATCGGTACTAAAAATGTAGTGATGCCGATGGGCTCCAAGGGCTGTTCCTTCAGACCCAAAGGTCCACATAGCCTACCGCAGACCAGATAGGTGGAATAAGCTCCCCAAGCCTGCCAGTGTCAGCTGTCACCCAGTTGATTCCCAGAGCTTTGTGCCAACTCAGGCTGATAGGCTGTGTAGAATTTACATTTGCCTGTGTGTGATAACAGAAAGCGAGGAGGAAGGAGAGTTTGTAGTTGCTGATGGTCATCTGGCAAGTGCTTTGAAGGCCAAAAGAAACCTACCCTGGAGGAACTCGGATTATGAGAGAACACTGTTAGGTCTATAAACAGGAGGGAAGCCTTTGGGACTGAGATAGAGGTGGTAACGTTTTGTTGTTACCAGTTGCTGTTTAGTGATTCCAGCTCATGGTGACCCCATGTGTTATGGAGTAGAACTGCTCCAAAGGGTTTTCTTGGCTGTAATTTTAACAGAAGTAGATTGCCAAGCCATTCTTCCACAGTGCTGCTTGGTGGGTTGGAACCCCTAACCTTAAGGTTAGCAAGTGAGCGCAAACTGCTTGCGTCACCTAGGGACCTTGGTAACAGATAAAACGTGGGATAGCAGGGGAAGATAGGGAAGACAGCAGACAAGGAAGAGGAAGGATGCCCTCTTTACAGTGGGATGCAGTGGAAAGGCGTCTAGGGTTCCCTACCTCACCAGCCTCAGCCCAGATCTGGCTTGGCCACTCCTTAGCAGTATGACTTGTACAGATCATTCCCTGCCCTGATCTCCCTTGTGCCATCTGTATACTTAGTTGTTGTTGTGTGTGCCATCCAGCCAATTCTGACTCATAGTGACCCTGCAGGACAGAGTAGAACTGCTCCATAGGGTTTCCAAGGCTGTAATCTTTACGGGAGCAGACTGCTGCATCTTTCTCCCGTGGAATGGCTGATGGGTTGGAACCAATGACCCTTTGGTTAGCAGCCAAGTGCTTTAGCTACTGCCCCACCAGGGCACTTTGGGGGTGTGTAAATATATTTTTTCTAAAAAAGTGAATTTGGTGATATGTATTTTGGTATATGTGCGTAGTATACATACGACTTATGTGTATATGTGTATCTTTTGTATGTGATTATGTATATGATTATTTTCTACCTAACTCAAATGAATTTCTTGGACAGTTAACTCTTCTAAAACAATGGTGCAATATTATACTTTAAAGGAATTATTGCATCTTATTCCTTTTCCTTTACTTCAAGACATGGTAATTTTTTTTAGCAGTTGTTATTAAAAGTGTCTGTTGGGTAGGAGTTCCTGTCTGGTCTCTGCTTTTTTATGCAATTTATAGTTAGAGTGGGTGGAAATGTTTTCAGAGTTCATATCATTGGTGAGAATTGGAGTCTGACTGGATGAGTCAGTGTGAAGAGATGTTTTCAGAGGAACAGCCAAGTCATTTTCTTATGTTTTCATATTTATGCTCATTAGGGAGGAAGATGACATAAAATTATCTAGCCTGTATCTGTTTAGACAATTCAAAGACTTGAAGAGAGTGGATTAGTATTAATTTGGTTTGGGGAATCTTTATGTCTACTATGTGAATTAAATTTGAATTTATTGCTTGAGTATTAAAATTGTACTAGAGAGATATGCTAAGTTTAAGAATATATTATACCATAGAAATAATTTTGATTCCTCAAAAAGCAGAGATGAACAAATGTTCCCTAAAATTCTTTTTCAGATTATTGCAAATACAGCCCAGATTAGGTATTACTCTATTTTACAGTGGTCCTAAATAGGAAACTTATTTAAGCATTGAAATATGTGGAAATTTTATTTTTTATCAGCAATGAATGAGTCATTTTTCTCTTACTAATACCAAATTCTGCAGGAGCACTCAACAAATGGTACAAGTACAACCATGGTTTGCCGGCACGGATAATTGTGTACCGTGATGGTGTGGGGGATGGTCAGCTAAAAACACTTATTGAATATGAAGTTCCACAGCTGCTGAGCAGTGTGGCAGAATCCAGCTCAAAAACCAGGTATTAAATATTGTTCTTTCTACCACATTCCCAATTATAGTACATTCAGCTGTAACTTGTAAACACAAGGTATGCAAACATTTGTTTGTTTTTTCTTAATGCGTTTAAGTTTTGCTTTGTTTCTGCATCTTGTGAGTACAGCTGGGTAGCTTTTCGCTAGATTGGAGAGAAGTCGGGATAAAAACCAAAAACCATATCAGTAGCTGTAGAGTTGATTCTGACTCATGATGACCCCACATTTGTCAGAGTAGAACTGTGCTCCATAGGGTTTCCAATGGCTGATTTTTTGGAAGTAGACCTCCAGGCCTTTCTTCCAAGGTACCTCTGGGTGAACTTGATCCTCCAACCTTTAGGTTAACAGCCAAGTGCGTTAATTGTCTGTAGCACCTAGGGACTCCATGTAGTTGGAATGTTGTTGCTGTGTGCTGTCAGGTTGATTCTAACTCATAGCGACACTGTAGGATAGAGTAGACTGCCCCATAGGTTTCCTAGGCTCTAGTCTTTAAGGGGGCAGACTGTCACGTTTTTCTCCCGCGGAGCCACTGGGTGGATTTGAATCGCCAACCTTTCGGTTAGCAGCTGAGCGCTTAACTGTTTGTGCCACCAGGGCTGTTTTTACTTGCACTAGAATGTCAAATTGAGAATTTTTCAATATTAAAAACATTAATAATAATTTAAAAAATAATTAACATGTTTAAAGTGAAATTTCACCACTATTCTTGCATCCTAGAGGCTCCTTCCATGGTGGCAAATATTTGGATTTGGCCTTGGCTTTACCAAATGCTAACTTTAACAGTTGGTCACTCATCACTGTGCCAAAATACACATTCTATCCATCCATTCATCCACCCAGGCAAGTTTTGTGTAATTCAAAAGAGGGGATTTGAGGAGCCAGAGGAACTAGTGGTTCTTCCTTTGCTACTCAGAAATACATTAGACAGCAAGAGTGAAGGTGAAAATAGGGTGACTATACTAATGGTAGAGCCCTGGTGGCGCAGTGGCTAAGAGCTCAGCTGTTAACCAAAAAAGGTCAGCAGTTCGAATCCACCAGCTGCTCATTGGAAAACCCTACGGGGCAGTTCTACCCTGTCCTGTAGGGTCGCTGTGAGCCAGAAGTGACTTGACGGCACCTAACAACAACAACAACAACAACAACAACATAATAATGGTAGAACCCCAGTGGGACAGCGGGTAAGAGCTTGGCTGCTAACAAAATGGTTGGCATTTCGAATCCACCAGCTGCTCTTTGGAAGCTTATGGATGGCAGTTCTACTCTGTCCTATAAGATTGCTATGAGTTGGAAGCAACTTGATGGCAATGGTTTTTTTTTTTTTGTTTTTTTTTTTTTGGTGGTCTCTGGAGAAGGACATCATGCTTGGTAAAGTGAAGGGTTAGTGAAGGAGAGGAAGACCCTCAATGAGATGGAGTGACACAGTGGCTGCAACAATGGGCTTAAGCATAACAACAGTCATGAGGATGGTGCAGGACCAGGCAGCGTTTCCTTCTGTTGTACATGGGGTCACTATGAGTCAGAACCGACTCAGTGGCACCTAACAATAACAGTGGCAAAAAAAGAAAAATTTCACCATGGATAATTCTGGAAAATCTCTTCAGAAGTGCTAATCAAAGTTCATTGTTCTATTAATCATCCCCCCTCCCTCCATTCAAATGATTTAAACTAGGCAAATGAGTGGATATACCATACTTTTAGAACCAATGAGGGAAGTCTCTAATTTGAAAAATCGTATGTATCTCTGGGGAAGAAGGACTGTGAGCAATTTTTAGTCTTTGTTTTGCAGTGTTTTCCTGATGAATTTCTATTGATTTCATGAAAAAAATTACAAAAAAGTGTTAAATAGAAAACCGCATGACCTGGTGTTTGTTCTCTCCTCATTTTCTGCCTCTCTTTTTCCAAGCTCCAAACTGTCAGTGATTGTGGTGAGGAAGAAGTGCATGCCACGATTCTTTACGGAAATGAACCATACTTTGCAGAACCCACCACTTGGCACTGTCGTGGATTCAGAAGCAACCCGTCCTGATTGGCAAGTACCACTAGAAAATTAATTTTTTAGAAAGCATTCAATGTGTGTTGTTCAGGTTTGACCTTTTTCTGTTTGCCTTCCTCCCTACATTCATTCCATTTCCCCCCCAGGTATGACTTTTACTTGATCAGCCAGGTGGCCCATCAGGGGACTGTTAATCCCACCTACTATAATGTCATTTATGATGACAACGGCTTGAAGCCAGACCACATGCAGAGACTTACATTCAAACTGTGCCACCTGTACTACAATTGGTCGGTAAGTGAAAGCTTTTTAGTTATGCAAGTACTGGTACTCAAGGTTCCCACTCACGAACGGTCACCCAGTTCACGCTTGCCATCCCTGGGCCTAGCCTAGTGCCTGCCTGTTCACAAATGAGGAATGAAAATGAGTGAATGACCCCTTAAGCCCACAGTGACAAGCTCAGTCTGTGATAGAAACAAAATAGCAATAAGTATTATAATAAACATATATATAAATATTTATTATATTTATATATTAATATTTATAATTCTAGTGGACTTTTGGAGTCCCTGGGTGGTGCAAAATGTTAAGCAGTCGACTACTAGTCAAAAGGTGGGCAGTCTGAATCCACCCACAGGTGCCTCAGAAGACAGGTGTGGTGATCTGCTTCTGAGAGGTCACAACCTTGAAAACTATGGAGCTGTTCTACTCTGCACACACGGGGTTGCCATGAGTGTAATCGACTCGACAGCAACTAATGATAGTCACAACAACAGCAGCAATGAGAGGGCTTTGATGTGCACGATATTATGCAAGCCTGGCAGGAAATCAGGGTAGGTATTAGTATTTTCATGTTACAGGTGAGGAAGTTGAAGCTAACTTTGATGTTGCACCTGGTGGAAAAGTGTCAATAGGAGTGTGTCTGTCCTGTGTTCCTGTGCACTGGGCCAAGACCTGCTCTCAAAGTCCAGGGGCCAGTTTTGCTCTGAGCCTTGTAGGAAACTGAGATTAGCCCTAAGTGTGATGGTTGCCACCACCATGGAGCCAGACTGGCTCCCACACCACCCCATCTTACCCAGTGAGTTTAAGTTTTTAGTAATCAAGATTGACTTTTTAGTTGAGTTTCATTACTGTTTACCCAGAAACACATTATATTGTATACTCATTGTATATTGTATATTCATCATATATTGTATTTCATTCTGAGTTGAAAAAAAAAAATCACTTTGTCTGAAGACCAGATTATCCTTTTAATTTTTATCAGTACTGCTTTCTCCTCAGGGCTTAATCCGTATCCCAGCACCTTGCCAGTATGCACACAAGCTGACCTTTCTGGTGGCACAAAGCATTCACAAAGAACCAAGTTTGGAATTAGCCAATTCTCTCTTCTACTTGTGATGGGAAGAACCATCAGTATCCCTAGATGAAGAAGCCAAGGAGTAGTAGGGATAGTTTGTACAAATCTGCTGTAAGCTCAAGGCTGTGACTGGGGCAAGGGGATTGAGTGTTTTAATTTCTGGGGAAAAAAAAAATCCGATAGGGTTCAAAAGAAATGTGTGTTGTTTTATTTTAAAGACGTTTATGCTTGGTGTAAATTCTCATTGTGGTATACGGAATAAAAATATACCATCACCTGTAAAGAATTCCACAAAGCTAAACATCTTAAAAGAAAATACGTGTGTTTGGATGGTAGATAAATGGGATCCAATTCCTATCCTAAATTTTGCAGGTGTTTTCGGAAACAGGTAATGTTGTAGAGCATTTTGTAGAGTAGTTTAAATAATTATTAGAAAATAAAGAAAATTGAAAGCATTACATATGTGTTTATTGTTCTTTGAATTTTGAGCTGACGTTACATATGATCCTCATTATTTAAGTGCTTTCAGTGAGGACTCTTACTCACTAGATCACATCATTCTCACTCTTTGAGTTATATTTTTAAAATGGTACTTATCACTTGCCCTCTTGATGGGCTTTACTTCACTTAATAGCAACTATTTTCGGTAATGACCTTGCTTCCTGCTGCACTAAGAACACAGGAGACATCAGAAGAGAACCTGCACAGACTCCCACTATATCTACCCACCTAAAGGCATCTGTGTCCATAGCCTCTGCCCTTCCCCTAGTCTGTGCTCCTATTTGGGGCTCTCTACCATTTATCTCTGGGTGGTGCAAATGGTTAACATACTTGGCTGCTAACCAAAAAGTTGGAGGTTCAAGTCCATCCAGAGGTGCCTTGGAAGAAAGGCCTGGTGATCTACTTCTGAAAAATCATCCATTGAAAACCCTATGGAGCACAGTTCTACTCTGACGCAGATGCGGGTCACCATGAATTGGAGCTGGCTCAATGGCAGCTCTGTGTGTGTGTGTCTGTGTGTTTTAATGCGTGTACTAAATCCCATTCCGTCTGAGCTGTGAAGGTTGTTGCTCTAGCAGTTCTCTCCTCTCCTTTCTGCATCATCAGTTTTTCCCGACAGGATCATTCCCATCAGCATTATAAATACGCTGTTATTTCTTCCATTCTGCAGTTAACTTCTTCCATCTTAAAAAAAGAAAACCATTTCCCCTTCCAGCTACCTCCTCATTTCTCTGCTTCCCTTTGCGGCAAAATTTCTCAAATGATTAGTCTATGTTTGGCATATCCAGTTCCTCACTCCAATCAGAATTTCACCATAACTTCTACATCAAAATTGCTTTTATCGAGGTCACCAATGACCTTCACTTTGCGACATCCGATAGTCAATCCTCGTTTGACCCCGTTGATTGTTTCCTCCATCTTGAAACACTCTTTACTTGGCCTCTAGGATGATAACACACTCTTCCTGGTTTCTTCCTACCGCATTGATCACTCATTCTTAGTCTCCTTTGCGGATTTATCCTCACAGTCTCATCCTTTTCACATTGGAATGCCCCCAGAATGAGAATGGCTACATGTCAAAGATCTTTTGGTGGTGGTTGTTGGTGAAAATATACACAGCAAAACATACACTACTTCAGCAGTTCCTGCATGTACAGTTCATTGACATTGATTACATTCTTCAAGTTGTGCAACCATCCTCACTCTCTTTTTCTGAATTGTTCCTTCACCATTAACATAAGCTTCCTACCTAGACTTTTGAGTTAACTGTTGTCAATTTGATCTCATGTACCATATTTTTACACAAATAATGCACACCTTCTATGTTTGTTTGCCAACTGCGTCCTCCCCACCCCCCAGAGTACTTTCCTAAGTGTGCTATGCTAATTTTTTTGCAGCAACATGTAAAAAATGTTGGCATAGTGGTAAATAGTGCTTTATAACAGCACAATGCTTAAGGCGGACATTCTTTACTAATTAGGCTAAAGTATTGTTTGGTTTAAAAAAGACTTCAGGGGATATTTTTGTTTTAAGGTTTAAAGATCATCTCAGGGCAATAGTTTCAGGGGTTCATTGGTCTCGGTGGCTTCAGGAGGTCTGGATTCCATGAAAATTTGAAATGCTGTTCCACATGAAAGATCTTTTGATAATGGAAAAATCATAGTTCCAAATGCTGTTTGCAGAGGAAAGATGATGTGGGGGGCTGTAGTGAGGGACTTGGGCAGCTGGGGAGGGCAGAAGTGAGAGTATGAGGCCATCAGCAGGGACACCAGAGCAGAGAGAAAATGGCACAGAAAAATTCTTTTTCTATTGGAGAATTTTGTCTGGGTCTGGTAGCATTGTGGAGCCTGGTGGCGCAGTGGTTAAGAGCTACAGCTGCTAACCATAAAGGTCAGCAATTCAAATCCACCAGCTGCTGCTTGGAAACCCTATGGGGGCAGTTCTACTCTGTCCTGTAGGGTCGCTGTGAGTTGGAATCGACTTGATGGCAACGGGTAGTAGCGTTGCACCCAACATGGGCCCATTCCAGTAATACTAATGGTAACCATTTGTGGGTATGAGGGTGGTGGGATGAGAGTGGGGTGGGGAGACGGGGAGTAATACACTCCAGGCACTGCACCAAGCATTTAACATACAATATCCTAGTTAATCTTCACAACAACTGTATGAGTTAGGCACTATATTTACCATTTTACAGATGATAAAATTGAGGATTAAAGATGCCATATGGCTCACCGAAGTTTATGAGATTAATAAATTGTGGAGCTGGAATTTCCCCTGAAGTTTTCTTGACTCCAAAACCCACAAAACCTTAATAAAAAGTACTAAAAGATTTTAAAAAATTTCTCCCAGAGCTCTTAGGTGAATTGAAACTGCCTTTGGAGGTAAGGGAGTGTATAAATCCAGAGTGGTGGATTTGGGTTTTGTTTCTGTATCGGTGTTGATGTTGTTCTTGTGGTTTTCTTCCTTAAAAGTACAAGGATGATGCAAAGCCCCACTACCTGACCAGCAGGCTTGTGTAAATCTACACACAGCATTTTGGTTAGGTCAGACAAAGTTCTGCAGAGAGCCTCATTCTCTTACCTATTAAATACTGCCGTAGGCTCTTTACTATTTTACCCCACCAGGGGGCACACGAGGACCATGGTATGAATAGAGTCCTTCACCATTCAAGTATCAGTGTGATGCAGCAGATAATGGGAACCTCAGGTAAGCTCCCAGAGGGCAACATGGGACTGGGAAAATTTTCACTTGAGTCCCAGTTCCAACGTTTTTTTCCCTCTCTGACAAAGTTAACCTGTTGCTGCTAAGTCGATTCTGACTCATGGTAACCCTACGTGTTTCAGAGTAGAACTGCTCTCCATAGGGTTTTCAATGGCTGTAATCTTACGGAAGTAGATTGCCAGGCCTTTCTTCTGCTGTGTGCTGAGTGGATTCAAACCTCCAACCTTTCAGTTAGTGGTGGAGCTCAAACCATATGGCCACCCGCGGATCCATTTGAGGAAGTTACTCTGTTTGTAATATGGAAAAGGGTTGGACTAGACCAGTAGTACTCAACCTTGGAAACATTAGAACTTTTCACACTAAAAACGTTGGAAAAAATATAGGTGCCTGGGCCCACCTCCAGAAATAGTGGTCTAATTGATCTGGACTGAGGCCTGATCATCTGAATATTTTAAAAGTTCTCCAGGTGTTATGAGTTGATTTGTATCCCCCGAAAAGATATGTTCAAGTCCTAACCTCTCCACAACCTGTGAATGTGGCCTTATTTGTAATTAGTTAACATGATGACATAGAGGAGTCAGTAGACCCCAATCCAATATGACTGATGTCCTTATGAGAAGAGACACGGACATAGAGCAAAGATGGTCATGTGAACGGAGGCAGAGATTGGAGTTACGCTGCCACAAACCAAGGAAAGCCTGAGGCTGTGAGAAGCTGTAGGAGACAAGGAATGATCTCTCCCTAGAGCCTTCAGAGAGCATGGCTCTGTGGACACCCTGAATTCAGACTGCTGGCCTCCAGAACTGTGAGAGAATAAATTTCTGCTGTTTTAAGCCACTCACTTTATGGTAACTTATTATAGCAGCCCTGGGAAACTAGTCCTTCAGGTGATGCTGATGCTTAGCCAGGGTTGAGGTGGTCTACTGGTCTGGATAATAGCTAAGTTCCGTCCCTGATTCGCGTTATAAGATTTGTGAGTTTACATTACTTAGTTTTGCTAACATTACATTAAATATTTTCGCTTATTAAAGCTACCGAGGACAAGGAGGAAAGAGAGCACACACCAGGCTTCTGAGTGAGTCTGGGTTTGAATCCCAGAGCCACCACTTTTTAGCTATGTGACCTTGGGCAAGTTACTTAACCTCTCTGAGCCCCAGCATACCTACCTGTGAAGATGGCTAACAATGTTCACATTTTAGGGTTGTAAGGATTAGAAGTAACAAATCTAAAGTATCTGGTTTTACTAAATAGTATCATATTATTAGGAGCCCTGGTGGCACAAAGGTTAAGCGCTCAGCTGTTAACCAAAAGGTCAGTGGTTTGAACCCACCAGCTGCTCTGCAGGAGAAAAGACCTGGCAATCTGCTCCTGTAAAGATTACAGCCTAGGAAACCCTATGGGGCACTTCTAGTCTGTCCTGTAGGTCACTATGAGTCGGAATTGACTCAATGGCACACAACAACATCATATTATTAGATCTGGTAAAAGGAAAAGAATCAAATGACCTAATTCAGTCAGCAAATACTCATGGATGCACGTTATGTGCCAGGCTCTAACTTCTACAGTTCTGCTTAAGGAAAGGCTTCATAGTTCCTTTAGGTATAAGCAGTTTACCACCTGCTGTCTTGGGGAGAAGTTTTTTTTTTTGTTTTACTTTTTTGGGGAGGGCAGGGTGATATGGGGAAGAGACTGGAAGAAAGTATACTTTAGATACATTTTTGTGGTGGCTATGGAGGTGTATCAATCAGATTGCGTTTCAAGAGAACTTTCTGCAAGGAGTGTGGTTGGCTGACAACTTCCAGACGTCACACCTCCAGGATCCACTACAGCGCTGAATTTGAGACTAGAATCTCCACGCTGCTCCTAGCCACTGATAGCACAGCAGAGGTACTGGCTGCTTTTGTTATTGTTGTTGTTAGGTGCTGTCGGAGTCCACTCCGACTCCTGGCAACCCCACGTACAGCAGAATGAAATGGTGCCTGGTCCTGTGCCATCTTCACGATTGCTGGTATGCTCGAGTCCATCGTTGTGACCACTCGGAGTCTCATTCTCCAGCACTATATCAGACAACATTCTACTGTGATCTAGGTTTTCATTGACTAATTTTTGGAAGTAGGTTGCCAGGCCTTTCTTCCTAGTCTGTCTCAGTTTTGGAACTCCACTGAAATCTGTCCACCATGG